TCCAGACTAAGCAGAAAGTTGTATGTCCAAAACCATTTCACTTTGGCTTCTCTCCTTCCTCTCCCTGTTTCATGCATCTTGCATAACGCCCACTTGCACGTGTGCAGGGTTTTGACATGACAGGGCTCACACTTTTCCTCTGAGTAAGCCTTGACTTTTTCTTCTTCTTCTTTTTTTTTTTTTTTTAAAGATTTTGTTTTATTTATTTGACAGAGAGAGAGAGAGATCACAAGTAGGCAGAGAGAGAGGCAGAGAGAGAGGAAGGGAAGCAGGCTCCCCGCCTAGCAGAGAGCCCGATGTGGGGCTCGATCCCAGGACCCTGGGATCATGACCTGAGCCGAAGGCAGAGGCCTTAACCCACTGAGCCACCCAGGTGCCCCAAGCCTTGACTTTTTCAATAGAGTCTCACTCCAAGTCTGTAAAATGTTTACATTTAAATGCATTTTTCTGATTGTGTGTCATAATTCACAAAAGAAGGGTTAGAAACATGTATGTGTTGAGGAATTCACTATTGGACCAGTCTACTGCATTAGGATTTATCTAATTTAAACATTTCTTACTTAATTTCTTCAGCGTTCTGTTTGTTTTTTTGTAGCCCACATGCTTTATCAGATTGGTTTTTTGGTTTTGATTGGTTTAGTAACCTGTAGTTACTGACTCTGGTGTGGCTAGTTTCCTAATTTTCAGTTTTCCCTTGACTGTGTGATTCCTTCTCCGTGTTTTAAGTCTGTTCTTATTTTACATTTTAATATAATCCCTACATTTCATATATGGAGTTTGTGAAATAAGAGAGAAATGTATCTATATCATTTGGGCTGAAACCCTTTTTAGATTTTTAGTGGCATGTTGATAGGCACAAAAAGTCATACCTAATCAACAGTTTCCTTTTTAAAAGTAGTTTTGATTCCTGGTTCTGAATGGTATAAATTATGAAATAGAATTTTTGAATTTCTGAAAGATCCTGATCCATCCTCCTTGCCTTATAAACAAGGCTCACAGAGTTAGCATGACTTATCAAGGTCATGCAGACTTGTCAGGCTTGCAACCACAATCCAGGTCTCTTGATAATCACTCCAGTGAGCTCCTTACCATATATTTTCAGTATTTCCTGATATATAATTTTCAGTGGGAAAGAAGCAGAAGCAAGTGTTGTTTGTTGACATCTATGTGCAGTAGTATATAATTTAATCTAAGTAGTGAGTATAAACAGTCTTTAGTCATTCCTTATAAAGGGTTTCTCTTTCAAAGTGTCTTTTGAATTGCTGCTTTTATTTTAATAAGGCCATTAGTCATACTTGGGGCATGCAGAGTGTTCTTTCTCTACATTATGATAGCCCACATTTATCCCATCTTTACTGTGGGTGTCACCCTGCTAAGCCGTTTAGGTTCATTACTTCATTTATTCCTCTCAACAACCTTATCAGGGAGGTAGCATTAGCAGCCCATTTTACTTATGAGGAAACTGAGATTTCAGAGAGGTTGAGTAACTTGCCCAAGGTTACATATTTGTTTATACAAGGTAGGGTAGTCTCCAGCATACTGGTTGTTTTAAAGGAACACAGTAGATTTAAAAATATCAATTAAATAACAGTTAAATTTAAATCATTTTTTTTTTTCTTTTTAAGATTTTATTTATTTATTTGACAGAGAGAGAGAGGTCACAAGCAGGCAGAGAGGCAGGCAGAGAGCGGGGGAAGCAGGCTCAACGCTGAGCGGAGAGCCCGATTCGGGGCTCGATCCCAGGACCCTGAGATCATGACCCGAACCGAAGGCAGAGGCTTAACCCACTGAGCCACCCAGGTGCCCCTAAATTTAAATCGTTTTAAATAGCAATACATTTTGCATAACAGAAGGAAAAAGAGGTTCTAATGGAGGTGAATAGGAGGTATTCAGAGGAAAAGGTAGTGACCTAAAGTAGCAACCCTGTCAAGATCCTGGTGTGGGGGCACCTGGGTGGCTCAGTGGGTTAAAGCCTCTGCCTTCGGCTCAGGTCATGATCTCAGGGTCTTGGGATTGAGTCCTGAGTGGGGCTCCCTGCTCAGGGGAGCCTGCTTCCTCCTCTCTCTCTCTGCCTGCCTCTCTGCCTACTTGTGATCTCTGTCTGTCAAATAAATAAATAAAATCTTAAAAAAAAAAAGAGAGATCCTGGTGTGACTTGATACACCTGGGTGGCTCAGTTGCCTTCAGCTCAGGTCCTGATCCCAGGGTCTGGGGATTGTGCCTGCATTGGGCTCCCTGCTCATTGGGGAGCCTGCTTCTCCCTCTGCCTCTGTGACACCCGCTACTTGTGCTCTCTTGGGCCTGCGATCTCTCTCTGTTAAATAAATAAAATCTTTTTTAAAAATCCTGGTGTGACTATAGGAGGAAGAGATGGGGATGTCCCTGTAGTTGCCATCAGGTTCCTGTCCCACATGCTGCCAGGGCTGAAGGTGCTTCTTGATGAGGTTGGGGCCTTAGCTCTCTGGCAGTTCCCAAGACACTGTGTTCTCTGTGCAGGGTAGCTCCTTCTTGATGCAGTATCCTGACAGTAAAGATAAATTTTCCAGGTCCTTTTGGGATTATTTTTGAAACTTGATTGATGTGCTCCCTATAGGAGGTTAGTTGGTGAGGATGGAGTTTCTGAGTCACTGAGATAAATTGCCATCCCTGATCTTGGCTTGTTGCACATTTTTTTTTTTTCCCCCAACCTTTGTGCATTGGGAAGGTGAATTCCCCTGGAATGAGTGTATCAGGATTTTTGTTCTTTTTCATTGTCTATACAGTTTATTTTGTCCAGGAACTCTACAGTTAGGTTTTATCAGCTTCTCTTATAGGAGAGAAAATAGAGTTGCAAAGATAGAAAGTGATTAAGAGTCTGTCCACAGTCACACAGCTTGTATGGCAAAGCTAGAGCTTGAACCTAGCTCTCCTGATTTTAGTTCAGTACTCTGCTGCTGTTTGAGACCTGGAGGGAACCTTGTCTTTGCTCTGACCTATGTAACATTGTCATCAGTTCTGTGAATTTTGCTGAATTAGAAGGTTTTTGGAGTCAAAAGCTACCTTTGAAATTCCTTAGAATCCAACCTCCTTGTATTGTAGTTGAGGATCCTGAGTGGACATGTGACTTAGGTTAAAGACAGCACTTGTTTGAGGGAAAACTCTGGGTTTTAAATCGAAGTCAGAATTTTAAGATATCCTAAAGGTCTTGAGCTGAATTGGACCAAATGAAAATTTTATCAGATATAGGTGTAAATTTTTTCAGAATATAAATTACACAGCTATGAAAAGGAGAACAGTGAGGTGTTTACAGTTTCTTCAACATTTCCATGTGTTTGAAAATTTCTGTAATAAAATGTTGGCAGGTGGCGGGGGAGGGAAAAAGCAGCTTAGGGGCCATTTGCATGAAAAAGACGTGTGGGGCGCATGGGTGGCTCCCATTCTTGGGTGTCTGCCTTAGGTTTGGGTCGTGATTCCGGAGTCCGGGGGTCGAGTCCCATGTCGGGCTCTCTGCTCTGCTTGGCCTGGCCGGAAGCCTGCTTCTCCCTCTCCCACTCCCCCTGCTTGTGTTCCTTCTCTCACTGTCTCTCTCTCTCTCTCTGTCAAATAAATAAATAAAATCTTAAAAAAAAAAAAAAAAGATGTGAAAACATGTATTAGGTAACCATGAACTCAGTGTGTGCTTCTGGTAGCTCGTAGAAAAGCAGCTTTTCTTTTAAGTTAAGAAGAGCTTCAATGTCTAGATCAAGAGAAGTAATAGTCACACTGAGCTCTGCTTGCCAGACCAGATCTGTGTAGCATCGGTGCCCAGTTCCGAGGGCCCATGCACCATGTTGCCAATCGACGCAGATGGTGTGGAATCTGGAGGCGTGGCTGGAGATTCATGGGGTTGATGTGGAAGAAAGGCAGGCATAGAGTAGCACTGTGGTGGTCTTCAGATCCTGGGAGAGGGGCGGGATTAGAGTAGTACTTTTATTTTTTTTTTTTAAAGATTTTATTTATTTATGAGAGAGAGCACTGGGGAGAGGAGCAGAGGGAGAGGGATAAGCAGACTCTGCACTGAGCATGGAGCATTGACCATGGAGCCCAGCGCTGGGCTTGATCTCACAACCCTGAGACCATGACCTGAGCGGAAATCAAGAGTCTGATGCTTAACCCACTGAGTCATCCAGGCGTCCCAAGAGTGGTACTTTTGAATGGAGAGCTTGGAGTGAGGTCAGAGGAAGAGAGTTAGAGGGAAGGAGATTCTGATCAGGCTTTCTCATGCCTGAGCTCCGCCAGCATGTTATGCCCCTTCAGCTTATCCACACCAGCACCATGTTCCTCTTTAGGGTTTGTAAATCCGAATTAGGGCTGCACTGACTTTAGTCTGTCTGTAGTTTGCCATCCTGTTTTGGACAAAGGCCAGAGCTTGACTGGCTTGCTGGGCCCTTTCCCATTTCTGTATTCTAGTCAGACCCAAGTTCTTGGAGTCCTTCAAGTGAGCCCATGCTTTCTCACAACTCTCTGAGGTGTACCTCTCACCTGGTTCCTGAGAGAGAGAACCAAGGACTAGCTCTTTCTACTGCCATTGTGCCTTGTGTATCTGTTTACCTTGTTTTATCAGCCGAATTTATGAAGGATGGCATCCTCTTCACTGTTTGTTTATGTATCTTGATTCTCCCACTAAACTGTGAGCTCCTTGAAAGTAGTTATTTTTGTCTTAATTATCTTTATGTGTCCATGTATTTATTTATGCCTTGTCTGACTAGTGTCCTAGAGAACTGGCATTTTCCATGGCACAAAGTATTGAGAGAATGTTGAGTAAATAATGACTTGCTTCAGAACTTTTTAGTAGTCAGTTTCTCCAACAGTAGATGTTTGTAACTAGAAGATTTTTTTGTTAGTGATGTTGCATGCAGGATTTCCTATAAAATGGCCTCCAAAATGTTTACCATTTTTAAGAGTCTGTGGTTTGATTTTTTTTTTTTTTCAAGTAATCTCTACACCCAACATGGGGCTTGAACTCACAATCCTGAGACCAAGAGTTGCATGCTCTATCAACTGAGCCAGCCAGGCGCCCCGTGGCTTGACTTTAAAGTAGTTTTTTCTCTACCGTATCTGTCAGGTAAGAGATGGCCCTTTATTTGTTTTCTTCGGTAGGTTTTAATTATGTGATCTCCTTGTAGATGTATAGGAAACTCAAGCTTCCTCTGTGGCTGTGGATGTGTAATTAGCTTTAGGCATGAGGTAGGTAGGCAGGGCTCCTGGAACTTTAAATCCTGTCCTGGGGAGTCCAAGTACAAGGACATCCTGGTGAGAGTTCTGGCCACCCAGACTGCAGCCTTCTTAATGCAGGGTTATTTCTGTAAAACGAGGGCAGCTGTGCTCCTGCCTGCCATGCCTAACAAATAATTATTTTAAATGAAAAAGTAGCAGGTATCTACAAATTAATGTGATTATAGCTGAGAATTTTATTTTTACAGCTGTAACTTAATACATACTGATTTAGAACTGGTGATAAATTTTGTGCGCTAAAAAAGATAGATTTTATATTAAATAACATGACAAGGGTGCCTGGGTGGCTCAGTGGGTTGAGCCTCTGCCTTCGGCTTGGGTCATGATCTCGGGGTCCTGGGATCAAGCCCCACATCTGGCTCTCTTCTCAGCAGGGAGCCTACTTCTCCCTCTCTCTCTGCCTGCCTCTCTGCCTACCTGTGATCTCTCTCTGTCAAATAAATAAATAAAATCTTTAAAAAAAATAAAAATAAAAAAATAAATAACATGACAGTACCTTCAAAATGAAAAAAAATTTGATCAAGAATATCAGCACTGATCCAAAGGACAGATAGATAAATCTAGAAGTTGTGCAGTATAGTTTTAGTGTTGTTACATTTTGTTCATATCTCGTGAAATATTTGTTGAGATGAAAACTACACATTCCTGATGAAGTTCTTGTGTGTGGTTGCACTGGGGACCATATGGAACAGTGGGCAGGGTATGGAGTTTGGATTCATGCTGCTGTCACTAAAGAATGCTGAGCCAGGGAGAGTGAGTTATATTCTCTGAGCCTCTGTCAATGCCTGTACGGGCTCTTGTGACGATTCATTGAACTTTACCAGGTACCGCACAGCTGGGACATGATGCCTGCCCCATGGGAGGAGCTCAAGGCCTTCAGTGCCTTTCCCTATTTTGGGCGCAGTGCATGAGTTTTGATGTTTTTAAGAAATATTACTTGAGAAATACATCTGACATACTTCATGGATTTATTGTAGTTTGAGGTTATTCTTAGTATTTATGGAGGCAGGATCCATACTGTTACTGTGAGAACTACTTTTTATTCTTCCCAAACCTTGACTTCTCTGGACTAGAGGTAGATTTTTTTTTTTTTTTTTTAAGATTTCATTTATTTGACAGAGAGAGACCAAAAGAGAAGGAACATAAGCTGCGGGTGTGGGAGTGGGAGAAGCAGGGTTCCTGCCGAGCAGGGAGCCTGATGTGGGGGTCAATCCCAGGACTCTGGGATCATGACCCTGGGATCACCCAGGCGCCCCTGGACTAGAGGTAGTGATGGGTGCTGATGACAGCTCTGAGCAGGACTGGGGAAGGAATAGTAGTAACTTTCACCACATTCCCTTTTCAACTTTCTTTTTCTTTTTAAAATTTTATTTATTTATTTGTTAGAGCCCAAGCAGGGGAAGTGGCAGGCAGAGGGAGAAGCAGGCTCCCCACAGAGCAGGGAGTGGGATGCGGGACTCAATCCCAGGACCCCAGGATCGTTGACCTGAGCTGAACACAGATGCCCAACTGACCCAGGCGTCCTTTTTTTTTTTTTTTTTTTTTTTTTCCTTCCTTTCATTTTCAGGCACTTGAAGTGCTATGAACTGTGCTGGTCCTTTCCCTCCTCTCTGTAATCTCTCTCATGCCCAGGGGACTCTAGAGGCTCTCTAGGCAGGGTTATCAATTCCTCCTTATTAACCAGATAGGGACCAAGATCTGGTGAATTAGCATCTGTTTATGAGGATCTTTGCCCTTAGATAGGGGTCATTTTAGAAAATTATGGAAGCTGGGCTCCTGGGTGGCTCAGTTAAGTGTCTGTCTTTGGCTCAGGTCATGATCCCATGGTTCTGGTATCGAGCCCTGCATCTGTCTCCCTGCTGAGCGGGGAGCCTGCTGCTCTTTCTTCCTCTGCCTGCTGCTCCTCCTGCTTATGCGCTTGCGCTCTCTCTCTGTCAAATGAATAAATAAAATCTTAAAAAAAAAATCATGAAAGCTTTTTTTGTTGTCTCAATGTTTGGTGGTTGCTGTTGAAATTTAGTAAGTAGGGGCCATGGAATTCTAGATTAAATGAAGTGTCGGTTCTGCAGAATCAAAATTTTTCCTGTGACCTGCCACAACTTTGGAATATCTTGTTGAATAATTTACGTAGATAGAAAAAAACTGTTTATGGCTGAGCCTAGAATCAATTCCATTTTACACAAAGAAGGCATTTTTAAGTGTAGTTCTGGTATAGATGGAATTTTCTAGGAATGCAGTTACTGTAGACATTGAGGAGAAATTGTTTTGTTTTCAGCTTTACCAAGGGTATTAGTCAGGGTTCTCCAGAGGAACAGACCAGTAGGATCTACACAAACACACACATGCAAGTAAGCACACAAAGAGAATTATTATGAGGAGTTGGCTCACATGATCATGGAAGCTGAATTAGTACCAGAATTTGTAGTCAGCAAGCTTGAGACCCAGGAGAGCCAATAATGCAAGTTCCAGTCTGAGTCTGAAGGCCTGAGAACCAGGAGAGCTAACTGATGGTGTAAATTCAAGTCTGAAAGTTGGTGGGACTGAGACCCAAGAAAAAACAGTTTTTCAGATGGAGTCCAAAGATGGGAAAAAACCAACATCCCAACTCAAGGAGTCAGGAATCCCTGTGAATTCAAATGTTTATCTCATTCAGAAACATTCTCATGAAAAAAACCTAAAAAACAAAACAAAACAGATCTTTAAAAAAAAAAAAAAAAGAAAGAAAGAAAAAGAAACATCCTCACACCCAGAGTAATTTAGCCAAATGTCTGTGTACTTCATGGCTCAGTCAAGTTGGCATATAAAATTAACCATCACACTAAGAGGGATTCATCCTTTAAGAAAAATACGTTGTTGCTAGCATGCATGATAGATGGCATGGGATCTGAGTTGCAGTACTACCAAATGCCCAAGTCAAGACTATCTGTAGTCAGATTCACAAGTGATTTAACTTAGAGGTGTGGATTTCTTACTGTTTTGTTCCTCAGATAGTCTTGCTTGAAAATTCACATATTGAAACTCACATCTATTTTATTACAATTTACTTTTATTTTTTATGTTTTAGTTGCCAGATTATGTAGATATTTTTAGAAAGTATCTGTGTGTATATAATAAATAGGTTAGCTTTGGATTCCACTTTAGTAGTAAAGTTGTGTTTACATATTTCTTGGAGAAAGGGAGCTTTGGGTCCAGTGTTGGTGAGGGTGAGTGAGTGGTCTAAGATCTAAGATCTCAAGCTGCCAGTGTCTTGGACCAGTGTGTTTCTTAGCATTTCTAAGCTTTTGGCTGTGCTGCTTGTCTTCTCTCTGATCTTTGCAAAACTGTATTCCTTCTCTTTATCTTACCAGGTATTTTATAATGTTTGGATCTACTTTCTTGAAGTCCTTGTTTTTTTGTTTTTTTTTTTTAAAGATTTTATTTATTTATTTGACAGAGAGAGATCACAAAGCAGGCAGAGAGGCAGGCAGAGAGAGAGGAGGAAGCAAGCTCCCTGCTGAGCAGAGAGCCCGATGCGGGGCTCGATCCCAGGACCCTGAGATCATGACCCGAGCCGAAGGCAGCAGCTTAACCCACTGAGCCACCCAGGCGCCCCGAAGTCCTTGTTTTGATGTTCATTAGATTTTTTTTTTTAAGATTTTATTTTTAAGTAATCTGTACACCTAACTTGGGGCTCGAACTCACAACCCTGACATCAGGAGTCACATGCTCTTCCAGCTGAGCAACCTAGGCTCCCAGGTGTTTTTTATTTTTGTTTTTGTAACCACTTTATTGAGATATAATTCATGTGCTGCACAATTCACCCATTTTAAAGTGTAAAATTCAGTGGTTTTCAGTATATTCACAACCATTATCACAATCTGATTCCAAATTTTTTTTTTTTTAAGATTTTATTTATTCATTTGACAGAGATCACAAGTAGGCAGAGAGGCAGGCAAAGAGAGAGGAAGGGAAGCAGGCTCCCTGCAGAGCAGAGAGCCCGATGTGAGGCTCGATCCCAGGACCCTGAGATCATGACCTGAGCCGAAGGCAGAGGCTTTAACCCACTGAGCCACGCAGGTGCTCCTGATTCCAAGTGTTTTATCCCAAAAAAGAAACCCTGTATCCATTAGCAGTCAGTATCCATTCTTGCTACCCTAATCTTTGACAACCTCTAATTTACTTTTGTCTCTTTGAGTTTGCATATTCTGGACAATTGGTATGACCGGAATCATACAATACATGATTCTTTGTGTCTGGTGTCTTTTATCTGGTATAATGTTTTCAGGGTTGTACTATGTATTGGTAGTTCATTTCTTTTTTATGCACAAATAATATTCCATTGGATGGATATAGCACATTTTGTTTATCCATTCATTGGTTGATAGATATTTGGAATTGAAACATTAAGTTACTTTGTATGCAGATGGTGTGTAAACAGAACTATGTGATAGTAATATGTATCCCATAAATAACAAATACATGTTGATAAGTAAAAATTTACAGGCTAACAATTCTGTGATAGTTTAATTTGGGAGCATTTTTTTTTCCCAAAGATTTTATTTATTTATTTGACAGATAGAGATCACAAGTAGGCGGAGAGGTAGGCAGAGAGAAAGGAGGGGAAGTAGACTCCTGTTGAGCAAGGAGCCCGATGGGGGGGCTTGATCCCAGGACCCCAGGATCAGGACCCGAGCTGAAGGCAGAGGCTTTAACCCACTGAGCCACCCTGATGCCCCTAATTTGGGAGAATTTTTTTTAGATGGTTTGGGTTGTTTCCAGTTTGTGGCTATTATGAATAATGTGTCTGTGGACATTTGTACATAAATTTGTGGACAAATGCTTTTATTTCTCTTGGATATAAATCCAGGAGTAGACTTGCTGGATCATATGGTAACTCTGTTTAAGCATTTGTGGAACTGCTAGACTGTTTTCCAAAGTGGCTGCACCATTTTATATTCCTTCCAGCTTCATGTGAGGATTTTAATTACTGCACATCCTTTACAACATTTATTACCATTTTTTTTTTTTTTTAGATTTTTAAAAAAGTATCTCTACACCCAGTGTGGGGCTTGAATTTATAATCCCAAGATCAAGAGTTGAACGCTCCACCAACTGCGCCAGCCAGGCACTCCTTTGTCTTTTTGATTATAGCCATCCTAGTGGGTGGAAAGTGGTAGTTCCTTAGGTTTTACGTGGTAACAGCAAGAAAGGGACAGTCTGTTACATTGTCTAGTATGATAGCTACTGTGTACCTTTACATTTAAATTGGTTAAAATTAAATAAAAATAAAAATGCATTTCCTCAGTCATACCAGTTACATTTTAAGTGCTCAGTAGTACAAGTGGCTAGTGGTTACTTACTGTATTGGACAGCACAGATATACATAAAACATTTTTATAATTGCAGTTAAGTTCTATTGGATGGTTCCTGTCTAGGAAAAGTTAATTTGGATGAGTAGGCAGAGAATGACAGAGGGTCTGAGTGGTGTAGAAAGAAGTGCAGGAGTGGAATTTGGAGAAGAAAAGAAAGAAACTTCAGGGAGCCATCTACAAGATATGAGACTTAGAAAAGAGCAGGCAAATAAAAGGGAAAATGAAAAGTTGAAGGAAAGATTCTTAGGAACTTGATTTTTCCACAGTACTTTGAGTTAGCGATGGATCCAGTGTCATTCCTTATTTTGTCGGTGAGAAAAGCATAGACTTGCTGCTGCGGTTTTGCTGTGCTTCGGTTGCTGTTAATAATAGCGTTCTTTTTGCTCAAAGGCTTTATCATGTTGAGGGCTGGAGCAGAGCCCCCTTTGCCCTGTCTCACTGTTCCTGCCACCAAACCAGTTGGTACAGTTTATATTATGTCAAGGCAAGATACATCTGGAGTGTCTGAGCTTAGTGTCAGTCAAGTACTCATTAAGGCTGTTGGGATGAGCCTTTTCTTCTCCGAAAGGTTATTCTGTAAGTTTATTTTTGTTAGTACGTAGAAATCTTTACAGACTAGAACAGCCTCTTTTTGTGCTCACTGTAGTTTCTCAAGAGTCATCATACACAAAACTGCTTACATTCAAATAGGCTTTCATTTTTGTGAAAGCCAGCCTGGTGTGTGACATCTTTCTAAACCTGATATTACTTATTGTAGGAATTGCTTTTCTAGCTTAGTTAATAAAGATATATGTAAGGGTTTATCTGAGTGCAGTTTTGTGTGCAGCTGGTGTTATTTCAAGTTGTCTAAGCTGTGAAATCAAGCATGAGCTGTTTAGGTGGTAGTCTTGTCACATTCCTTATAGGTGTATAGATGGCCTTATTTTCTGAGCCAAAAAATTGAGGTTTATGTTCTTCTTCTTTCTTTTTAATTTTATTTATTTATTTGAGAGAGTAAGCGCGCATGAGAGAGAGCATGAGCTGGGTGAGGGGCAGAGGAAGAGGGAGCAGCAGACTCCCTGCTGATCAGGTAGCCTGATGCGGGCTCAATCCCAGGAGATGATGACCCGAGCCGAAGGCAGACATCCAGCTGACTGGGCCACCCAAGCATCCTTGAGGTTTATGTTCTGATAAGGAATTTTGTTGCTGCTTCTTGATAAAAGAGATATGCTGGGAAATATATTTAAATCCTAAATGATAGTTTCTGGGATGTTCCTCTTGGTGTAGGTGAGGTTATGACAACAGATACTTGAAATTAGTATTATGCTGGATAATTTGGGAAAATACGATCACCCTTAAATACCTGCAGAATGGCTAATTCTCAAATGCCAGGATGGTTATTGCTTCATTAAATGCTAAAGATAATGTATGCTATGTCATATTTAGCTAGTTCCATTAGCAATCTAGGATATTCCTTTTTTTTCCCTTATAGAGAGTGTGTGCATGTGCTCCTCTGTGGGGGGTAGGTAAGAAGGGTAGAGGGAGAGACGATCTTAAGCAGGCTCCAGGCTGGGGTGCCTGGGTGGTTCAGTGGGTTAAGCCTCTGCCTTCAGCTTGAGTCATGATCTCAGGGTCCTGGGATTGAGCCCCGCATCGGGCCCTCTGCTCAGCGGGGAGCCTGCTTCTCCCTCCCCCTCTGCATGCCTCTCTGCCTACTTGTGATGTCGTTCTCTCTCTGTCCAAAAAAAAAAAAAAAAAAAAAAAGGGCTCTAGGGCTCCAGGCTTAGCATGGAGCTTGATGTGGGTTCCATCTCAGGACCCTGAGTTCATGACCTGAGCCAAAATCAGGAGTCAGACCCTCAACCAACTAAGCCATGCGGGCGCCCTAGGTTATTCCTTTTAATGACCGAGCTAGAATATACAAAGTAGTTTCATGTTAGTAATATTCAAAGAGGAAACCTTAAACATGGGGTACATTCTGATTAAGTCTAAGAGCTTTTCAACTTTTTAGTTTCTGTATCAATATCTAGCTTTCAAACGTTTTTATTTATTGCATGGTAAAATTTTTCAGAAACAAATTTCTAAAGAGCTTCCTTTCCAATTGTGTTCTTAGTATAATGTCATTTCTTTCCACAGATTTTTTTGTAAATGCATCACGAAGAGGCAACCCAGAATGAAGAAAGCAAGCAGGAGTGTTGGCTCAGTGCCTAAAGTGTCTGGGATAAGCAAAACGCAAACAGTAGAAAAAACTAAACCTGAAAACAGTTCTTCAGCATCTACAGGAGGCAAACTCGTAAAACCTGGAACAACAGCATCATTGGCAAAGGTATTAATGTGGCAGTGTTTGGATATGTGATGGATTTTAGGAGGAGTGAATCTTAATAGGATGTTTGATTTATTAACTAAACATCCTTTAGGGTTCGCCCTCTGCTGGTGCTGGGAACACATAGACTTTGAAGAGTTCACAGTGTGTTAGACTTGGTGTGTTTGGTCTGGCTTTACAAATGAAACCAAATAGTAGACTTGCTTATGAAACATATCATTGAGCACTTGCCTTGTGCAAGGTTCTTGTGTCTGTGAGCTGGAGTTAGCGTCTTTCTTCAAGGAGCTTGTGGGGTAATGGGTGGAGGTTGTCACCTACATGTGTAAATGAAATACATGCAAAAGAGTCAAATTCCTTGGGGGAACAGGAGGATAGTGTAAGCATTTCAGAAAGACATTGTTGCTAGCCTGGGAAGGTTTTACAAAAATAATATATGTGGTAGGTCTTAAAGGATGACCAGCAATACCATTCCTGAAACCCCTAGGTAGGGTATTTTTATTCCCACTCCACCGCCTTGCACACCATAACTGTTACTCTTTTCCTGACAACTGATCTGTATTAATCCCATTAAAATTGGGCGATATTAACTTAGTTAGAGCATAACTAGGTTTTTTTTTTTTTTTTTTTTTTTTTTAAACACTCTTTCTGAGGCTGGTTTAGTTCCTGTTAGTACAGAATGGTGACTGGGCTTTAGAATAAGACAGACCCAGACTTTGTATGCATGTGCTTCAGAAGCACCATGATGAGGATGAAATGAGGAATGTATGGAAGTGAATTAGCTCAGAGTCTGGCACATGGCAAGGGCTTCATAAATAACAGGTAGTAGCTTTTTTTTTTTTTTTTTTTAAGATTTTATTTGTTAGAGAGAGCACATGAGCAGTAGTGAGGGGCAGAGAGAGAGGGAGAAGCAGGCTTCCCGTGGAATAGGAAGCCCAACTCGGGATTCTATCCCAGGACCATCAGGACCTGTGCTGAAGGCAGATGCTTAACCGAAGGAGCCACCCAGGCACCCCAGAGAGTAACATTTTTATTGATTATCTCTAGAAACTTCTAATGGCTCAGGACTGATTTCTGAGAAGAATAGTCTTTTTCTGTGGGTGCTCTCAGTGTCTGTATTGGTTTTGACCACCCAAGGGACAAGATGACTCCGGGCTGTTTTTCTACTGGTCATATCTTAGATATATTGCACAGAGGTCCACACAGTCTTCTAGTCTTTCTCAGCAGAATCCACTTATTTGTTCTTTGCTTGTTTGTCGTGGGAATTTTGTGTTTTGCTACTTTGACTCTGTGGAGAAAACCTGGAGAGGGTTAGTCTCGTAGGGAGAAACTAAACACTGTTTGAGACATGATCCATTCAAAAGCCTTTTGTCTAGGCAGGGCTTTGATAGATTGTGGCTTAATTATTTTAAGAAGCACCTCATAGAACAGCTAATGAGGGACTTCCTTATATATGTTGAAAGATATAGCTGGAAATGCTGGTTTTTCTATTTCAGGGTTGTCAAAACTAAGCCCAGACTTACTCCATGGGCTTGGAGGTGCCCCCAGGTTTTCTCCTTGCTACAGTTTTGATGAGTTACTGAGTGTCATCCTATGGCCCAGAGGATGGTACCAGGAATAGACCTTTGCCCTACTTCTAGAATCAAAACCTTGAATTACTTCCTTGGTGGCAGTGCTGCCACTCTTTTGTGTAAGATAGCTGGCATTTTCTGACCTAACTGGTTACTCACTTGCTGGGGGTGTCTTTGGAGCAGAGTACCTGTGTGACTGGGTGACCTGTTATTTACGTGACTGGAAGAACAGGTTGAAACACTGGCATTGGATGTGTTCTACTGCTTTTCTTCTGTTGTCTCCTCATCAGTGGCAGGCAGGGTCTTTGAAGGTGTACTATGAAGTGTGCCCTGAACAGGCATGTCAGATTTTCTGAGGCTTGTATCTGGAGTTGATGGTAGTTTGGTTTTGAACAGTGAGTATTTTTTCATTGTAAAGCAAAACAACTGTATCTCTGCTGTGTGCCAGTACGTGCCAGCTGTCCATAGCTCTGGCCATCCTTGTTGGTGCTTTTAAGTAGGGGTGTGTGTGTATGTGTATAGTGAGGAGGGTCTTAGAAGAGGCAGAACTATTTGGAAATACTTTATCTAGACTGAAGCAATTGCTTTTTCTTAAGAAAGGGGAAGAAAAAGGGCACTGAATAGAAATTGAAGTGAGAAGTCAAAGAAGGAAAGAAGAAAATAGTGAAAATGAACAGAAGAATTGAAAAGATCAAAAGGGCTTGGAGACCCCACAAACTTAAGTGTTATTTTATTTTCCTTTTTAAAAAAATAATAATAAACATGTAGTCTTTCCTTTTTTAAAAGATTTTACATATTTATTAGAGAGGGAGAGAGAGTGCGCACAAGTAGGCGGAGTGGCAGGCAGAGGGAGAGGGAGAAGCAGGTTCTCCACTGAGCAGGGAGATGGATGCAGGGCTTGATCCCAGGATGCTGGGATCATGATCTGAGCTGAAGGCAGTGGCTTAATGGTTGAGCCACCCAGGTGCCCCATTATTTTATTTTCCTAAGTTTTCACATTTCACTGTGCTTTCTCTAGCATTTGGACACTTGCCACAGCTTGAATTCCTGTAACTGATGGAGCGTTGATGACTAACTAGATGAATGAAGCCTTTGGCTTTTAGTCATATAGACACCATGTGCACATACTCACCCACTCATGTGGACACCCACATGTGTGTCTGTCATTGCACAGTATTCAACACTTTTCTTATAGTGGCCAGCATGGGGATATACATTTCTTTACCTCTTTCATTTCAAATATTGTTTGAGGCTAGATCTAGCTGAGGTATAAGAGAAAGGACCTTTTTGATGAGAGCATCTCACTGCTGATTGGAGTTTTTGTAAGTACAAAATACAGTATGACTGCTGTTCAGTGAATTTTGAGGAAATTGTTCCCATTCTTATGAGTAGCTTTGACATCTGGTTTGGGGCGTTTGTATGGTTAATTCTTTGTCACAGTGAGTAGAGAGGATTATTTGCCACATAGGGATGGCCTCCTATATGCCTGCACTTTGCAGGTTTCACACACTGCTCAGGTGTTCCTGGTTAATTCTTGTGGAAGTAATACACTCTTTCATTGTCCCAAGAGTACTTTTTTCTAAAAGTTAATAGACAAGAATTAGTAACAGTTACTTCAGTTAGAATCTGTCTAAATAATTGATGATTCTCAATGATTATTTATCATCATACCTTTTCAGCATGAAAATTAGTTAACCATATGATTTAATAATCCATCTCTGAAACTTGCAAGGCAAAATTTAAAAACTAACCTTAAATTTTGAGTTGATGCCGACCATGAAACTTGGACTTTACCTTGAGAAGCATGGATATGTTGGTTGTATTATTTCATCATTTGTATCTAGGTTTTTTATTTTTAACAAATTTAACAAATTTTTAAATTTTAATATTATTTTTGTTCTTACATTCTCTTATATATATGTAAATCTGTTTTATGTACAATAATTGGTTCTATCAAATAATCATACCATGGGGGCGCCTGGGTGGCTCAGTGGGTTAAGCCGCTGCCTTCGGCTCAGGTCATGATCTCAGGGTCCTGGGATCAAGCCCTGCATCGGGCTCTCTGCTTGGCAGGGAGCCTGCTTCCCCCTCTCTCTCTGCCTGCCTCTCTGCCTACTTGTGATCTCTCTGTCAAATAAATAAAATCTTTTAAAAAAACAATAATAATCATACCATGGTCTTCTACTGATAATCTTTCCCAAGATAGATTTGGGTGAAATTGGGTATTTGCACACTCCTGTGGACTACCACACTTGAGACTTTGTGACTGATTTCAGTTTTGAGGCCACGCACACAATTCAAAATATACACAGACTGGGTTAAGGCAGTTTAAGAGTGGCCTGAAAGAAAGCACAAGACGTGGAATGAGTAAACTGTGTATTTTGCTTGCATGGGAGCCACCACATGACCAGCAAGTGCTGGACCTGTCCCAGAGCTCTTTGTAGTGTGGGGGCTTCTGAACATCTATAGTGATTGCCTGGCAGGTGGACAGACAGCAGGTATGACCTGCTGGAAGCTTCACAGAGGGCTCATTTCTTCATTGCCTCTCCTTTCTTGGATTCTTTTTTAAGTTTGTAATCTGAGGGGTGCCTGGGTGGCTCAGTGGGTTAAAGCCTCTGCCTTCGGCTCAGGTCATGATCCCAGGGTCCTGGGATCGAGCCCCACATCGGGCTCTCCGCTCAGCGGGGAGCCTGCTTCCTCCTCTCTCTCTGCCTGCCTCTCTGCCTACTTGTGATCTCTCTGTCAAATAAATAAATTAATTAAATCTTTAAGTTTGTAATCTGCTAGGGCAGCCTTGATTGCATCTTCGGCCAGCATGGAGCAGTGCAGTTTAACGGGGGGACGTCAGAGGTCTTTGGTGATGTCCATGTTCTTGATGGTCTAGGCTTCCTCTGCCATCTTCCCTTTTACTCATTCTGTGGCTAACGAGCTAGAAGCAATAGCAGACCACAGCCAAATGTTTTAAACCTGGAGTCCACAATCTTTACCTTCTCATCCACTTGAATCTGCAATTTCATTACATCACCACCACATGCTGGAGCCCCCACCAATCCAGTTCCGACATTTTTTGATGTCAAGGGACCCCACATTTCTAGGATTTTCATAATGATCAACAACCTTATGATAGATCCTGGCCGGAGCTGACAGTTCCCTGGCAGGTGGACTTGGGCTCTGCAGCAGTAGGGTTGACACTGTCCGCCTCAGACGGTCAGCTCCAGCCACCGCCATCTTTCACGCTTGCGCCTGTGCAGCAATTTTATTATTTTTATTAAGTAATCCCTACACCCAGCGTGGGTCTTGAACTCACAACCCTGAGGTAATGAGTTGGATGCTCTACCAACTGAACCAGCCAGGTGCTCCTGTATCTAGAAGGTTTTTACCAAAGGCTTTGCATTTTGCATCTGTTATTAAGAAGTAAGTTAAAAATCTCTTCCC